ATCAGCCTCACCTCTAGGGCTTGTTATATAAACGAATCCTTGGTCTTGTGCATAATACTCTGAGACAGGGGTTCTGGGGAGTGGCCTGAGTATTTTCTAAGCCCCCGCCAGCAGTCCTGTTGCTCAGCCAGATCGGGAACCACTGAGATCAGAGATCAGAGAGTGCGCAGGGTTGGTGGATGGGGTGGGCTTTCAAACCCTGTTTAAAAGAGGATTTTTCTCACAGAAAGAAAAGGGAGGATGTGTATCATCAGTTATGAGATGTGATATTCCCTGTTGTTCTCTCCACAGTGGGGTAGAGGCCAGGTAGACAATTCAGGATGTGGCTCTCACACAAGGAACACCTGTGAATTTCGTTGTTTGGCAAGATTAATTAAATCACCGGCCATTGTGTGACTGAACTCAACTTTGAGCCTCTCTTTCCTTCCCAGACTGTAGGGATGGGGCTAAAAGTTTCAATCCTCTAATCACAGCTTCGTGTTTCTGGTAACCAGCTCCCATTCTGAAGCTACCTAGGAGCCCCTCACCCCATAGTCATCTCGATGCCATATTGAAGTCATGTTTATCACTGAGGAGACTAGAACCCAATGTTCTAGAACCTGGTTGTCAGGAAACAGGGACAAAGACCCAATATTTTTACTGGACACAGGTCCCACCCTGGTTTTGACTACATTATCTCTTTTTATAATATTTATTTATTTCAGAGATAATCTCTTGCTCTGTTGCCCAGGGTAGAATGCAGTGCCACAATCATAGCTCACTGTAACCTCGAATTCCTGGACTCAAGTGATCCTTCTGCCTCGGCCTCCTAAGTAGATAGCATTACAGGTGCACACCACCATGCCCAACTAATTTTTAAATATTTTGTAGGAATGGGTCTCACTATTTTGCCTAGGCTGGTCTCAAACTCCTGCCCTTAAACAATGTTTCTACCATTGCCTCCCAAATTGACGGAATTAAAAGCATGAGCCACTGTGCCTGGCCAATCACAGATCTCCTATACCAGAAGAATCATAGCAGTGAAAAGATCCTGGCACATTACCAGAATCCTCTTTGGTCATTAACAATTATCCCAGTGCAGTCCAAAAACAGGAATAGTCTCAGCAACATATGGCTGCACCCTTTCAGGCATCTGGAGACATCGAGCTAAGAGACAATACCATCTCTTGTTTATACCTCTTTCGAGTAGTTCATGTAACATTGGATTTTCCTCACTACATAACCCATTTATTCATTCATTTACCCTC